GTATATATACATGTGTGTACATACAAGTATTACATTAATATTATATACAGATTTAAATATTTCCCTTATACAGAAAAATGCCTACACAATACTAACAATTCTCTAAATACTGACTTTTAGAAATATGTATTGTTGATTAAATATTGACTTTCAAAATGTCAGCTGCAGGATCATGGCTGACAGAGGTAAATGTAGGATCCTGCCTATTTAAGTCATGCTTTAATCTGATTTGGATGCCCTATTTCCAATAGACGTAAAAGGGCAAAGACTCCAACTCAGGGCTTGCAGTTATGATGGCCATTGGCACTGGGTTCGACCTTCCATGGAGAGAGTCTTTGCTTCCTGCCTCTGAGTCTCTGTAGTGAGTGATGTGTTTCAACATGAGTCACAACCACAATTTCCTCTAAGGAAACACCACTGCACGAGATTCTCTGGGGTCCACCTACTGAAGTCCTTGTTTGTTCCTCACAAGTCTACAACACTGTTCCATGAAGAGGGGTCAGAAGACTCAATTCTGTGAGCATCATCAAGACGTCTCACTGTGGATTTGAACCCAGACTACGTGTCAGAGGTGAGCTATCTTGTTCCTGTAGGTTCAGGAGAGTTTCACTCACCTGATGTAGAAACCGAAGGCAATCTCATTACAGTCCTCACTACACTCCAGGTGACGCAGATGGACCCACATCTCCCCATATTCATTGATTGTCTGTGGATCATCAGTAGCTAGGAGTACTGTGTGCCAGTACCCCGTGATCTGAAGAGGAAAGGCCCCATTGGAGTGCATACTGACTCTTCTTTCTCTTCTCTCACCCACACTTATCACAATCATGAGACACTTTAGGTTAAAAGAAAAATAAATAAATCCAATTCCTTGAGAGCTTTCCACCAAGTAGAATCGTATCAGATAATGTCATGAGTCAGATTCCCATAATAGGTCCTGAGTCAGATTCCCATAGAAGGTCATGAGAGAGATTCCCATAAAATTGAGAGATTGTGGAAGAAACAACATGATATCACCAAATATGATGGAAACACCAAGGAAATACACTGGTAATTTGACTTTATTAAAATATTATTGTCATTATTTTACTTGAAGAGCCATCTGATGAGAAAATACAAAGAGGTAATATAATAATTATATTATGAATATGAATATATATAAACTTAGAAGCTTATAAAATCTCATCACATAAAAATGAAAAACGTGGGAAAAGAAAGAGAGAGACACAGAGAGAGAGGAGAGAGAACCCCCAAGATCAGCCCATTCATGGTACCTCTGCAGGGGTGTACTGGGATGAAACACAAAACAGAACAAATCCGAGAGCTAGGAGAAAGATCTTCATCTTGAGGAGATTTGTCTTCTGATTTTGCAGGATCTCAGAGTAGCTGAGTGCTTGGAGAGAATCGTATTGATGTGACTATATATAGCATTGGTGGCTTGGCATGGCAGGGAATAAATCATTGTGGTACATCATGAGACCTGTGTCTACAAGTGTGTCCTGGTTGGCAGGGATAGGCGGTGGAAAACAATCTGCTATGAAACTAATGGGATTAGTACTAGAAGAAGCTTAATGTTGGGCAAGTGATTGACCTTTATCTGAGGCAGAAGCTCAAAGCAAGCCATTGATCTGTGGACACTAATATTTATTTCATCTTTGACCCTGATCGCAGAAGTGGAAGATGAAGTCCAAAACATCTATTCCCAGCTCCTGTATAACTTCTCTAATATTTTGGGAGAATGTTGTTAGAAACTTTCTAGAATCAAAGATGGTACCCATGGTCTGCAATATTAGATTACAACATTTATACCTGAGATAGAACGTGAGAAGGCACCACTCACATAAGTCTATGATTCAATTTAAGAAGATGTTTCAACAGTAATAATAATAAATACAAATGCTCTTTCAATCAATTCACAAGTCTTCCTTGGAATTGAGATCCATGTGGTTTCAAGTTATCCAGTTGAATTACCCTCATTAGCTGTCCACATTAGATCAACCCAGGGTCCATCTCTCTGAAAGTAGTAGGACACAGGCTGTCATGTGTATACCAACCCTAACTGTGAGGATCATGGGGATCCAAACATGAGGATCATGTCAGTATTTGAAGTACACTCAAATATTTTTACCTAATTTACTTCTAGCAGTTATAAAATTTCTTGTCTAATTTCTAAATCTTTGATGCATGTTGACTTGAATTTTCTGTGGGTAGCGAGACGGAGGTCTCATTTCATCTTGCTATAGGTAGTTATCCAGTTTTCTCCATCACCATTTGTTAAAATGGCGGTCTTTTCTCCAAGATATATTTTTGGCAACGTTGCCAAATATCAGATAGCTGTAAATATATGATTTTTCTCTTGGTCCTATATTGTATTCCTTTTCTCTTTGTGACAATTTGATGCCAATATCAAACTCTTTTGTAAATACAGCTCTGTAGTATAATTTCAGATAATGTCACCTGCTTTGATTTTCTTCCTTATTATTTCTTTACCTTTTCTGGGTCTCTGATTCTCCCAAATAAATATAAGAATACATTTCTATTGCTGTGAAGAATGTCATTGTTATTTTTACAGGGATTGCATTAAATCTGGATATTGCTTTTGGTATTATGGCCATTTTTA